TTTTTTTTTTTTTTTTTTTTTTTTTTTTTTTTTGTTTCTGATATGCATGAATGTGATCTTTCATATTCACTGTTAACATTTTAGCATTAAATTTTTTTTGAGGGGGCGATTCTGTACAGGTTTTCTGGTAGCTTAAGTTGCTTGAGAGATTTTTGATCTTCTTGATCAAGTAGTAGTTCTGTAGGTGTAGTCTACTACAGATTTTGTTACTGTATAATTCCCAGAGTATAAAGTCTGCATTGTTTAAGGAAAATTAAAGTTCAAAACTTTTATCTTTCAAGGGCTAATTGTAAATGATCTAAGGATTCATTGTTTCTCAGCAGTCTATTTTCAGCAGTGTTCTGACAAGTTGCTACTTCCGCTACTACCTCCAAGTGATTCTGACAAAAAGTGCCTTATCATTGATCTTGATGAAACACTAGTGCATTCTTCGTTTAAGGTGAAGACGTCTCTGTTTTGTTATTGTTATCTATTCAAAAGTGCTAACATCGTTCTCAGTTTATTTTTGCTTGTAATTGTTCGATAAACCTTTTTTGATTAATTTAGCCGGTGGAAAATCCTGATTTTGTTATTCCTGTGGATATTGATAACGTAACCCATCAAGTGTATGTCTTGAAAAGGCCATATGTTGATGAGTTTCTAGAAAAGATTGGCGATAAATTTGAATGTGTTTTGTTCACGGCAAGTCTTGCAAAGGTATCATTTTGGGTGTTTTTCAACTTTTACTGGTTTTTTTCGCTCTAGTGCGGTACACTTATTTAATTTCGCTTGTATTTCAGTACGCCGATCCTGTTGCTGATCTCCTTGACAAACGAGGCGTTTTCCGGACTCGTCTTTTTAGGGAATCGTGCGTTTTTCACAAAGGGAATTACGTCAAGGTTTTTTTATCTTTTCTTAGGTTTTGCTCGCACCTTATTCTACGCTTTGGCTCTTATCACATGGTAACACCGGGTCCAAGAACACTGAACGTGAATTTATATGTTTATAGAATTAGTTTGGTTTGCAGGATTTAACAAGGCTCGGAAGAGATTTAAGGAAAATAATTATTGTCGATAATTCACCGGCTAGTTACGCTTTTCATCCAGACAATGCTGTAAGTCTTTGTATTCTAGTCTATTAAATTTTTGGAACGCTACGAGGGGCGCCGCTTTACTAATTAACTAGTTCGAGTAATTTGATATACCAAGTTAGCTAATAATTATATCATATTTTGTAACTTTTAGTTGTGATTAATTTTAGATCGCTGTACCCTCATGGTTTGACGACATGAATGATGAGGAGTTGCTTGCAATAATTCCTTTGTTGGAGCGATTGGCTGAAGCAGATAGTATATACTCTGTGCTTCGTAATTGTAATGAAGATCTTAGAAGCCGTAGTTTGCTGGAGTCACCAGGCGATGTAGTTCGTTCTTAGTCAAAGGTAAATCACGATGTGGTGTTGTCACACTTTCTCCTTTTTTCTTATTTCTCTCTTACTGTCTCTGTTTTGCTGCTACAGACATCTCGAAACATCAAAAAGTTTGTTACTTTTTGTCTTCTGTTCAATACTACAAATGTCGTCATTGTTGTGATTTTGTTTTGAATTTTTACGTTCTTTCCCTTGCTTTCTGGAAAAGTAGTTTGGATGTTTTTTCTTTATAGTGTTCAGGTTTGTTATAAGAGATTTTTTTCCTGAAAGTAGTGAAGAGAAAAAGAATTTGTGGTATTTTAATGCTCTTCTTTTCACCTCTTCTTGTTGGTCAATAGTTTTTAGATTTTTTTTATATATACGTATTTGTTCTGGTATATGCTTCAGGTGTGGTGTTTTACACATTTAATCATTGTGTCTTTAAAGGCACCGAAAAGTGCACCAAATTCCGGGTAAACTTGTATGATTTAAT